CTCTCTCTCTCTCTCTCTCTCTCTCTCTCTCTCTCTCTCTCTCTCTCTCTCTCTCTCTCTCTCTCTCTCTCTCTCTCTCTCTCTCTCTCCGTTCAGGCGGATCTATGCGGCTAGGGTCGGGAACGTCCATGGCTGAGTGGGTGTGTAGAGTGGGCTTTATGACTGTGTGAGATTCGTTTCTCAGACTTACTGCCATTCTTGTCAGGGGTTTGGACCGACAAACAGTCTGCTAGGATTGCATGGTTGGTGCAAGTAAAGTCGACGGCTTTTCTCACTCAGGGGTATCGTTAACTCTGGGCGATGTGGTGAGTCCTTATCCATCAGTCAAAAGGACCCTGGGCAGACTGTCGAGCCTCCTGATGAGTCGGTGAAAGTCCGACGGAACAGTCTGTTCGGCACAGTCATGCTTTTTTTTAATGTATAGCGAATACGACAACACACACAGAGAGCTCCATGCCATCCATCTCCTGAGCGGTCTCAATCTTTTTTAGGAGTTGCTTCCTACTCGAAGCTTGGCCGGCGGTCCTTCAGGACATCCGCTAAAATTGGAACGATACAGATAAGATTGATTAGCATGGCCCCTGGACAAGGATGACACGCATAAATCGAGAAATGGTCCAAAGAACAGGGGGATTTAATTAAAAAAAAAAAAAAAAAAAAAAAGCTTGGCCCACGGTTGGGAACCACCTGGCCAAGCGCTGAAAAGCCTGCTCTTCGCCTTACGGATGCGGTAACTGAGGTTAGCACAGGTCGTGCAGACACTATTCGTATAGGCTTTGGTTCCACTTCTAAACACCGTGTCTTGCCTGTAGTGGTTAAGAGACTCGGCTCTGGTGGCCAAGGCCGCCGGTTCGAATCGCACGGAGGAGGTCTGCGACCAAGAAAGTATGGATCCATAACTCTACTACTTTCGTGCGCTTCCACTCTAACCGCGAATGTAATGATGAGGACCCAACTGTGGCAGGCAGGCGCCGACTGCATTTGTCTTAAAAAATGAAGAAAAGAAACAGAGATCGGCTTGGCAGCAGCGCTTTTCACCTTCACAATAAATGCGTTCTTTGAGAGTTTGAAGGGGCGCCGACCAGGATGACCAGGAAGACCGGCTGCTGGTCGTTGAGCTCAGGTCACGGGAATGGTCATCGCTCCAATCAGTATCCAGAAAAGCCCCTCGTGGATTGGCACCACTGTAATCCCCCTGCCTGACACCTCCCAGAAGACAATTGGAAAAACAATAGCAACACTTCCCTTTTCGCTTATGTTTTTCCACGTCTCGTTTTTTGTTGTTCTTCTCCTTGTTCTTCATCCTTCATAGTTCTTCAGTTTCAAAGATTAGAACAAGTGCGCAATCGCACACGAAATTACAAGGAAATGTCGACCGCTGCTTTCGGCGGCTACATAATTGGCTGGGAGCGGCTTGATCATCGGTAAAACGCCACGAGAGAAAGAGGGAGAGGGAGAGGGAGAGAGAGAGAGAGAGAGTACTTGCTGTTTCGTTTGAGAAACTTGTCTTCAATCCGCCTTTGTCCTTTTCATTAGCTGCTAAAGCCTTTTCGTTTGCATTGATGGTGAAGAATAATGACCGGGTGTACATAGTTAACCATTGGCCGGGTGGGGGTGGGGAGAGGAGAGAGAGAGAGAGAGAGAGGGAGACAGAGGGAGAGAGAGAGAGGAGCAGACAGACAGACAGGCAGACAGACAGAGGAAAGACGGGGGAGGAAAGAGGGAGGGATAGGTAAGAGGAGAGAGAGAGAGAGAGAGGCAGCGCAGATAGACAGACAGACAGACAAACAGACAGAGGAGAGACGGGGGAGGAAAGAGGGAGGGGGAGAGAGAGAGAGAGAGAAAGAGAGAGAGAGAGAGAGAGAGAGAGAGAGAGAGAGAGAGAGAGGGGCGGGGCAGACAGACAGACAGACAGAGGAGAGACGGGGGAGGAAAGAGGGAAGGGGAGAGAGAGAGAGAGAGGCGTGATTGGAGATGGAGACGCGATGGAAGAGGAGGCGGAAACCGAGGAGGAGATGGAAACCGAGGAGGAGGGAAAGGGGAGCAGTGGAGGGGCCGGGGCAGGTTGGGACGGGGAGTGAGAGGGACAGAGGCAAGACAGCATGA